GGTAATAGGCGAGTTCCCGCCCCGCCACTCCCCTCCGCGGTGACGTCACCGAGGGATATCGCGGTCGCTAGGCAACGCGAGTCAACAGCGGCGACGTTACGATAGTAACAGCGGTTACCTCCGCTAGCGTTACATAGCAACACAGCGCCAGGCAAAGAGGGTGCCTATTACGCGGCCGTTTTCCGTATGGTCCGACCGAGGCTACATGAGGCGCAGCGAAGGCTATTCACAGTTAGTTGTACTGTGACAGCCACCGAGTTGTACGGAGTCAGTCAGCGAGTCCTGGACCTACCGCCAAGTCAGCCAGCAACCAGTCAGTTGTATTCTGGCATTTGGAGTGTACTAATTGTGATACTGCAGATAGCAGTAATCGTAAATCTGTAATTTGAGTGATTGTAAGTGCGAATGTGAAATAAAATTCGCTACCTCGAATACATCGAGAATTTGTCGCGATATACGCCCGATACGCGACAACTGGTGTCAGAAGTTGGATTAGAACTTACACACGTGACCGACGGGATTCGATCTCAAGACACGCTACAATATGCTTTGAAAATGTGGCACCGTTCAGATATTTGGGAATTACAACAACAAACCAAAATTTGATTCAGGAGGAAATTAAGAGGAGACTGAATTTGGGTAATGTGTAACCACACCATCAAAATCCTTCCCCTCCCCCCTTTTTTTCAGTAGCTAATAGAGTTAATAATAAGAATTTATGAAGAAACAAAGGTTTAAGACATACTGTAAGAACAAGCAGTAGGCGATGAGCAGATAAACCAAACTTGCGCGGACAAGGACATCTGCTAGTCCTTGCGTCCAAGCATCTGGTGTTATTTTCCAAAAGTGCAGAAAATGATACTGCAAGAAACCCCACTGAGTTTCTTTAGAAATTGAGAATTAGACTTACAACAGTAAGACACTTTGAGAATTCGAGAAGTGAATGTTTCTACCAGCTGTAAGTCAAAAATGGGGGTGTCAGGAGATCATTAGTGACCCCTCATAAGTTGCATCGCTGTCAATTTCGCCGTTTGGTCTTTTAGGGCGAAATTCCCTTAAAAATAATCTGTCATTGGCTGGAACCAAAATTTAGCCAACTCCCCTTATCTGAATCGACCTATCAGGGAAATTAGGAGGAGAGGAGAATAGGCAGATACAACTCAGTTAGGACCTCTGGCTCGGCAGAGATTTTAGTTGTCTATCAACTTTGGAACTTGGTGGAGGCAAACCCCGCATCACACGCGCTAAAAGATAATTCTAAGTACAAAATTTTGCTCTCATAGCGACTCATATTGAGAATTAGCTTAATCAACAAGAGTGCGGCACAAAGGAATTTGGCGAGCTGATCGAGTGCATTTCAGTGTAACACCAGCTGCTGTAAGCTGAAACTAAATCAGATTGTGAGAATTTACGCCGAGTGTCTTTAAGAAGAACAACAATAAACTGTTGTGTTGGTACAGTGAACTGTGTTAATTAGAGGTGCTTCAACCTTACTTGTCTGAGTCTGACCCGTATCCGACCTGAAGAGAGACTCATCTCCACTGTCTAGACAAACTCACCGTCAGCTTTCACATGCTCACTCCTTCCCCACATACTATGAATCATAAACAGTCTCTAACTGTTTGCTGGCCCCCATACTATCAGATCCAATCCTGAAATCCAACCCCCCATAATCTCAACTGAAGGAAGAAGCGGTGGAGCCGGGTGAAGCCGAAACCAGCTATGACCTAGCAACTTCAGCAGCGGCAACACCAGATAGGGCAGCATCAAAGTGGTCATCGGAGCAGAGGAGCCAATCATCATCGACTCCCATTCTCTGCACTACTATTCAGACAGAGCCACAGGCGGAAGGCAGGAGGGACGGTTACGAAAGATTAATTGGAGCTCAACGTAAGGGCACTAAGAGGACAGTTATAAATGCTTGCTACCATTCAGTTGAGAACCTTTTATCTTCTTGTCTGCTGTCTGATAACATAAAAATTAGAGTATACAGAACTATAATTTTGCCTGTGGTTCTGTAAGGGTGTGAAACTTGGTCTCTGATATTAAGGGAAGAACATATACTAAGGGTGTTTGAGAACAGGGTGCTGAGGAGAATATTTGGACCTAAGAGAGATGAAGTGACGGGAAGCTGGAGAAAAATGCATAATAGAAAGCTTCATAACTTGTACTCTTTGCCAAGTATAATCAGAATTATGAAATCAAGGAGGATGAGATGGGCAGGGCATGTAGTAGGAGTGGGGGGGAGAAGGTGAATGCATACAGGATTCTGGAAAGAGGACTGCTAGGAAGACCAAGACATAGGTGGGCGGATAATATTAAAATGGATCTTAGAGAGATAGGATGGGGTGGTATGGACTGGATTGATCTTGCTCAGGATAGGGGTCAGTGGAGGTCTCTTGTGAACACTGTAATGAACTTCCAGGTTCCACAGATTGCTGGGATGTTCTTGAGTAGCTGTACAATTGGCAATTTCTCAAGAAGGGCTCAGCTCCATGAAGTCAGTTAATTAGTTAAACGTCAATACCAACTACTGTGATGATGGATGCAAGACCACAACTTGCAGATAATGCAATGCTGGGGAGATAAGCCTCATTATGTGTAACAAATCTCACCACGAACAGAAGACCCTGCTGCTACCAACAAATGGTACTTGTCTTTAGCCAGATTAAACTCTGTGTTTTCAACATTCGTAATGGGATCTCTCATGAATTTGCAGTAAATTGTTCCATCCACAAACGAAGAATTTTTAAGAGAAATTCCATCTTGAACCTAGAACAGGAAACATGAATATCAACTGGATAAACAGAAACATATTAACAATCAAATTACCTAACAAAATGTATAATATATATCTGTATCAAATCAGAGGGATATATGAATAAAATAGAAACAGCTCCAGCACTGAAAATATAATAAAGTGAATGGTGCAAAGTATGTATCAAATCTGTTCATGGCAATATATATACAGTGGATTCTGGTTAATTGGGACACATTGGTACAAGAGTACTTTGCCCCAACTAAGGGGCTGACCAAAATAATATACAAAGTGGCACATTTTGCAATTTTGTCACTGAGTGTTACATCTCTCCTAGGCATTTCTGTAGGGATCTAATATTTTGAGTGAAAAAAATCGCTGCACACACCATGGTAGACTCACAAACGCAGTCACCACAAGACTGACATCAACTGTAGCTAGGTGCTCCTCTGTACTGACTTAGTGACTCACTGACGATGTAGTACTCACAAGTGCACCATGTGGCAGCTACTGGCCCAATTAAATGGCATGGTGCCCCAAATAAGCAAAGCAAATTCTGGTTTTATTCTTGACTTGTTCTGTTCTCTATAATTTGCCCCAATCAACTGCTTATCCTATCAACCGGAATCCAGTGTTTCATATTCACACAGAACCTTATCCAACAGTAACCACCAGTGATGTCTGAGAAACATTTGTGAGAGTACTACAAAGTCCATTTCTTACTGTCAGCCGTTTGTTATCTTTCCCAGAGTTCCATGACATATAAGCATTTACACTGTTTCCACTTGTGCCATCTTGTACACATTCCACAACACTGTCTTCACCCTGTAAGAACATGAAGCAGTTAATAAATAAGACTAAATATGGCTTCTGTAATGTACAAAATATAACAAAACATTTCCACAAACTGGAAGGGTACTGCTAATCGTATTCTATTAGATTTATATTTATACTCCCTAAAGTACCTGCTCTTGGCTCAGTTTTTTCTTAATTTTTCCCTGTTGAGACTATATACTATTGTCAGATGATAGGATGACTGGTAAATTGAAAAGGATTTTGAAGGTAGTGTTCATTGCTTATCTGAAGTACTCTCTCAGATTTGCCTGGAAGAACACAGAAAAACCATAAAATATCTCAATCAGGACACCCAGTGGTCTAGCAGAGATTTGTGCCAGGCACCTAACAAATTGAAGTCTAGAATGTTCCCTCCAGACCAACCTGTTTGGTCATTGTTCTTATAATAAACTTTACTGAAATACTATCACACCCAATAAATTTGGGCCAGTGACAACTGCACCAAAATCTACATATGAAAAGGATGCCAATCATTTGACCTCTGAAGGACATTTTTCTTACACCATCAAGAACATCACACACATCAAATATAAGACAACAGAACTACATTAAATTCCCACATAACAAGTACATTACAATGTTCATTCTCTAAAGATAAAAGCCTTAACTAATTATCCACTTCAATTTTAAACATATCTCAATTCTAACCTTTTAACTTTCAAATGTAAGTGGTGTTTCGCCCAACACGACGATACAATGAAATAATTTACAACATACAATATACTTAAGGACAGTTATGTATGACCAGAACATATTGTATTAATAATGAGCACAAGTGAATAAATTACAACAGTGTGACAACAACCATAAGACTGAAAATAAATACTGCTAACTAAGCAAACTTGCACAGACAAGTAAATTTCCACTAAATATCAACTTGACAATATGAGTGCTTTCTGAAAACCTAAATTATTTTATATGCTGTTATACATAATGTTTAATTTTGAATGTTCAATGCGGTGGTCATGATGACTCCTCAATTTAAATACTACATGAAGGCTTTAATTAATGTATTTTATAATTAAACATATTCAGACGTGAGTGTAATAAACATACTGTTGTTTAACAGTCCACAAACAAGAAAAAGCTTGGAACCATTTGAATAAAAAGTTTAAGAGTGGCTGTGTTATGGCATAAAGCAGATCAGCAGTTAGATTTTGTGTAAATGAAAAGACACATATGAATGGGCAATTATTCTTACCATACTCATATCCAGGGACAGACCCACTGCAACATAAGCACTATTCCTTGCTTTCATTTCAAATTCATATCTGTCTCCTTGGACTAGACAAGACACCATAGCTGTGCAAGACTTAGTGTCTATGCAGCCACCAGGAAAACCAAAACAAGTCTTCTTTGACCCACAACCATCATAGATGAGATCGATCATAACAGAAGCCTGTGGAAAAAACAACTGAGCTTGAGTCACAGCCATTAACTGGTCATTCTTAGTATACTCAAAATTTAGTTATTTTCCAGCAGTATCACATGTTCTGTAGGATTTGTAATAATGTTGGATCAAGGTTGTTTAGCTTTACAAGTTCCCAGATGTATTCAGACAGTCTCTAGCATTTTCTCTTTGCAGAAAATATATTTGTGTGTTGATCCATTTTAACACAACCCATAGCATGGTGCCACTATGTGAAAGAAAAACATCACCTATGTGCTGTATGATCCACTGAAACATCACGAAAGTAAACTCTACAAAAGATGACACTCAGAGACGGGGGAAAAAGACAAAGGCTCCCCAGAGTTTCATTAAGTATTGCATGGAAAGGCTGGTTTCTTATTTTTTGTTATTACAAGCAATCAGAATGGAATTAAATTATGATATGTCTGAAGTAGGCTGATTTGTGTGGGTCACCTCTATATCATGATATTACTGCCTAGCCATCACAGAACAAACACATGGCAGATTAGGGGAGGTAATGCAGTCCCTGAATAAATTATGTTACTATATACAATTTTAAGTCATCAGCCTGAAAGTTATTCTACCAGAGAAATAAGAAAAATCTGCAGTACTATTTGACANTAATTTTAATATTTTAACACTTAACATTTATCAGTATATATGATAAATATATATTTTAGTTATTTTAGTATGTATAGACAAGGCATGCAATGAACTAGTTTGTCGTGGATTGGATCAGCACCTGAAGATGGCACATTTGTGCCGAAACATGTAGTGAGAGTGAGAAGAGGGGATAGATGAACGTATGCACTAGAAGACGGATAAAATAAATCATGAACCTAACAGCATAGTTGGCGTTCTGGCCAAGATCTGAACCAAGCATCTTTCACATTTATGTCTGAAGCAATACCCTCACTACAGCCATGTTATTCGGTTATACTGTTACAATTATAAAGAACTTTCTGATGGCAAGTGTTCCTGTGTACTGCAAACCACAGAACTGTATTGTTATAATCTCTGCTTTTCAAGCACAATTTCCTTTAGCAACTGTGCAATAAGCCAGCACAGATGAGGATAAGGCAAAACATCTAAATCTCTGGAGTGAAAACTAACAACATGAACATAAAATTCAAAATCATGAATAACGATCAGATACTTGTTCTTAACAATTTTAGTTACTGCACTGTATGATCATGGACTGGACAGTCACTGTTCAGTTCCCAACTGAGATAAGAATCTCTCTTGGCCATTTGATTACCATGGCCCATCCAGCCTCCTAACTAATGTGTACAAAGTTTCTTTTCCCAGAGATAAAGCAGTCAGAGCATAAAGCTGATCATTTACTTCCATATAGTGTTGCCATAGCAGAAGATAATATTCTGGGAATTCTAGGTAATCTGAAAGCAACTTCATAGAGGAACTGAGCTCCCAGTTGAGAGACAAGTTACAGAATGATTTCATAAGGATCTTAATGTTACAGACCACCATTACAATCTATGATTATAATCTGACAAGACAGTTTATGAAAATGATTTGCATACCCTTCTTGGTGGAGTTTCAGGAACAGAAGGTGGCGTGGTGGTTGCCCTGGGAGTTGTAACAACTGGTCGTCTTGTAGTTGAGATCCCTGTTGACTGCGAGCTGTTGTCCACCGCACGTTTCGTAACAGTTATAGGGGCAGAATTCACGTCTTGCCAGAAAGTAGAGAAGTCTTGCACCACAGTGGCACTGGATATCAAGAATTGCATTATTACCAGCAGACCCTAGGTATCATGTCTCTCATGATGACCATGTAAAATAATAATTGTAATGCTTGTGATTATAATAGCAGCAATAGTGGAAGGGATAACTGTTATAATTATAAAAACGTAAAACCATATGTATTATGCAAGAACTGTACTTACACAAATATTACAGATCCCTCATAGTAGTCAGGTGCTTCCCACTCAAACTCCAGATTATCCCGTTTGGACGGGTCTGCATGTGTAACCGTATTCTGTGAATTCTGAAAATAGTGCAGGTTAAAATGGTCATTAATTTTGCAAATTTATGCTGAACATAGTTTTCTACATTACGGCATGCTTTTAAAAAGAACACAAATCATCGACCCAGATAAACCCACCAGTATACTAAACTATTTTGATCACTTATACAATAAAGACACTGCTTAATTTAAGCATAATTACTTGTAAAGTTTCTTCAAATCTGATTTCAATTTACAAACTGCTTACAATATTTAGTCATTATTTTATACTAACTCACTCACTCATGGAGCTGAGCCCTTCTTGAGAAGCTGCCAATTGTGCAGCTACTCAAGAACCTCCCAGCATTTTATGGAACCTGAAGGTTCATTACCATGTTCATAAGAGCCCTCATAGGTCCCTATCATAAGCTAGATCAATCCAATCCATCCCAACCCATTCTATCTCTCTAGGATCCATTATAATATTGTCCACCCACCTACATCTTGGTCTTCCCAGTGGTCTCATTCCTTCAGGCTTTCCCACCAATATCCTATATGCATTCCTCCTCTACAAGATTTGTGCTACATGCCCTGCCCATCTCATCCTCCTTGACTTGATCATTCTAATTATACTTGGAGAAGAGAACAAGTTATGAAGCTCATTATTCAGTTTTCTCCAACCTCAAAGACACTTCATCTGTCTTTGATCCGAATATTCTCAACACCCTGTTCTGAAACACCCTCAATCTACATCCCTCCCTTAAAGTCAGAGACAAAGTTTCACGCCCATACAGAACCACTGGCAAAATTATATCTTTGTATATTCTAATATTTATGTTTTTAGACAGCAGGCAAGAAGACAAAAGGTTCTGGACTGCATGGTAGCAAGCATTACCCGAGTGCATTCTCCTCTTAATTTGTCATTATTTTGTACACAGAAGAATTTCTACTCCAGCCTTCAACAGTCATTTTCATGCACTGAACTTACACTGATATCATGGTTACACATGGTACTTTGTAGCAAGTACCACTATCTCAACATTTACAGTATGTCTGTGGCTCCCAACACTGTGTAGCCCATACCTGTTACCAGTTAGGGTACAATGTGTGCATAGCACTCTGTAATCCACACCTGAATTGGTTAGGTTACAACATATATGCAAAACTTTTCTGCCCATGTGGTGTACTGGATAAGGTTCCAGATATATCCAGGGCATCTGTGAAACACTTTGTTTCACTTCAGTTTATTAATTCTAAGAGAGCCGGTAGGACTCCCTGGATGGAGGATCAGCCCACTGCAAGCCCAATACCTACACAGGACAACACAAACACATAATAAACGCACACAGATATCCATGCCTTGAGTGGGATTTGAACCCACGATTGCAGTGTCCGAGTGGGTGAAGTCAGTTCATGCCTAAGACTGCACGGCCACTGTGATCAATTCCAATCTCTCTCTACAATGCATACCCTGTACTGGAATCAAAGTTAACAAAAATTGTTTCTAAAGTGTTGTGGCAATGGTGTACAACCGGTATGGACCCAGTACATACTCTTTCTTTAAAGAGTCCAGTGAATGCTGTTAGCCCTTTCTAAGGGACTCAACAGAGTGTGTGCCTCCCGCTTCACCTGAGTATGGAAACAGACTGTTTCTGAAATGCCGTGTTCTCTAGTTTTTACAATACGGGCAGTGAACAAAGCCCAAAACCTCAGTAATTCTGAAAAAATGTGATTGTTAAATTCATTCATATTTACTTCACAGAAGCAACCACGCTGTTTAATGGAGCCCTAATGGAGGGTAAGAAAATCATGACAGCTCACCTGATACCCTCCTGGACAGGTGAACGTTTTGGTAAGGTTTGGCAGTGCAGTGAATTGCCCAATCGCAGAGTCGCTTCCTTCAGGCTTCCGTGCTTGCAGCATGAAACCCTTAAACGGTGTGCCAGTAGTTGATGTCATCATGAGTCTGAGTTTCGAGCCAGGAGCAATACTGGGTTTGCCTGGAGTGACAGCATATGGAGACGAACTTTGCTGGGCAGGTACACTGCTATGCTTTGGAGACAAAGTTGAACAAGTACTGGACGGAGCACCAGACGGGTAGCTGGCTGTACTGTGTAGCAAAGTCAGCACAGCAACAGTCAGCAGCAGGAATGGTGGAAGTGATAATATAGCCATTCTGTAACAAATTCAATCAAAAAGTCAGAGATAATATGTCAAAGTAAATTAAAACAATGCAGAAAACAAATTTAAAAGGGGGGCGGATGGATATCTACATGAAAAGAATGCTGCATTACTAATTTGAAAACTATCGGTTCAGTTTGGTTTGGTTTGGTTTGGTTTGGTTTGGTTTGGTTTGGTTTCAGAGGATGAACCATCCTGAAGTCGTTGGGTGACCCTTATATAACCATACAGACGTAAATTGATCAATACTGTTAAGTAAGTGAAGTAAAGGTACCCGTGTAACAGGCCGTGGAGGCCCATAGGGTTGTGAGACGTTGAGACTCCCACATTTTCTAAATAAATTGGCTCACAGATGGCACTGAAGATGTCAGTCTTACCGTCCTTTACCCCTAAGAATATTCCTGGTGCTCATTTGTTAGAGGCTGAGTCGACCCCAGGGCCACAGTGCGGATTAGGTCAATTAAAAATCCCACCTCATCGTGATTCGATCCTGCGACCTTTTGGCTTGCAGCATAGTGCCTCAACCAACTACGCTGCCGCGTGCCCCCCCAATCAATACTGTTAACATAAAATATCAAAATAACTGTCTTCTTGGATGTAATGCAATAGAATACTGGTAAACCTGATATATGAACATGAACACAGTCTTCTGTGCAGCTCTCCATGCGGTTCCTGGTCCAACCATAAGTTCGAGAATTGCATGTCCTGCTTTCCACTGTTACAAGACACGTTTCAGTCTCACAAGAACCATCGTCATGTGTGTATGTTGCTGCCATAAACCGTGTCACTGTTGGCACACTGACCATGCGCTATGCATAAAACTAATTACTATTGCTCAAAATTTAAAAACATAAAAGTTACACAGTTAAAATTAAAAGATCACGTGTTGTGGCGGCTNTCTCGGACGGTAGGAGTCCTTGGACGAGTGATCAGCCCGCCACAAGGCCGCTATCTACACACAATAAATGCACACAGACATCCATGCCATGAGTGGGATTCGAACCCAAGATCCCAGTGTTTGAGGGGCGGAGACAGTTCATGCCTTAGACCACGCGCCTACTGTAATCGGCAAATGAGTAACATACACTGAGTAAACTCTTACTGAGTACATGGGTAACTAAACAAATCAATTAGTAAACATAAAAGGCCAAAATATAATTAAACAATAAGTGCGCAAATACGAGTAAATAAATACGTAACAAAATTAAAAAATCAATCAATAAATTAGTAAATACATAAATATAAGGAATGAAAGAATAAACAGATGAGGAGATAAGACCGAAGACAGCCGCCATGCGTTTTGGCATCACATGTTCGAATCCTGCTCGGGGGCATAGTTGCACTATAATGTCACCTTTTTCTGTGTTGTTTTATCTGTGCCGTTATGGCCTGTCAAGCGTTTTACTCCTCCGGCAAGAGCGTTCCACGCATAGCGAGCGGGGTTAGTGCAATCACCGTACGCTAACGCGCAAACATGATAATACACAGCTTGCCTGTACAAATTACTGCGAGGGGCACTCGAAATGGCTGCAGCTTCGGCAGTTTTTACTTGCATTGCAACTGATACAATAGGTTTTTACTTTAATATACAGAAATCCCTCACCAACTGCGGATTTCAAGTACCCCTTATTTCCCTCGTGTACGCAGTTTTGTTAGCTGTTTCTAGACAGTCGGCCCAAACATGGCGGTGATGTCAGACTTACGCACCGGCCGCCCTTTACCCCCGGGAGGATTCCTGCTACTCATCTCTGTTAGAGGCTGAGTCGACCTCAAGGCCATAGTGCGGCTGGAAGGATTAGGTCAATTGAAATATCAGATGACCTCATCGGGAATCGAACCAGCGACCTTCCGGCTTGTAACATCGTGCCTCAACCAACTACGCTGCCGCGTGCCCCTTTTTAATCTGCGAACGCATGGTAAAATCAGTCGCTGCAGTAACAGAAGTTCCATATTTGCTGGAGGGAGCATTATGTAATGGCATCGGGGACCAGCATTCTAGTTTGTGCGTACGTTTGTGGCTTTCTGCCACGCCCGCAACGAAAAGCTGTATACATTTCCGATATCTTCTGTCCTTCCGTCTGTGCGAGCGTAATCCTTCAAGTGCGAACGGAGCGAAATCTGATGCCACCATCTCATAACCCTAGAACAGTTGGAATCATTTTTATCACATTTTATAATGGAGATTCTTATGTCTGTCTGTCGAATGAGCTCAGATTTCACAAATATCGGCGCAGTAGCAGCGCTACTACACAGCTGGTGCTCATAAGGGCTTCATTCTAAAGTTAGACAGGAAATCTACGGCCGTCCACCCTCGTACCTGTCCTCACGAGAGAATCGAAAGTTGGCGTTCACAAATTGAAAAAGCTACAAGCAATAACAGTAGGAAGTTGCGAGAACTACCTTGTTCATGTGTAGACTCATGCTTTCGCTCTGACCGAAGCAGCAGCTTAGTTAAGCGAGGTTTGAGGTTCTCGCGTCAGTGACTCTGAAGGTGACGGCCATCTGGTGTGACTCCGCGCCATGCGGTCGATCCGGTTGATCCATCTTCAGGGTACGCGAGTCTTCGTCACATCCCAGAAGACACTAATCTTCGTGGTAGTTATTGACCTTTGATGAGTGTTAACAGCTGCTGCGGTTCCACTAACTCGTCTTACAGCGTTCCGAACAATCTGTATCCACCAGCGTATGAAGTCTATGTGAAATCAGTGGCTTTCATGGAGGGGAATCTTCTTGCTTGTGACACAGTGCAATCTGGTAAGCGATTACCAGAGTTTCTGTGGAACGTGTTACTTCCACTATCGAGGTTAAAGTGGCCACCTACAAGACTACAGAGTGTCACAGCCTAAAGGACAATCTACCACTAGCTTATTGACTGACTGACATAATTACTCGAAATACATAAAGTTAATTTACAATTTCAAGATTGGTGTCTATACTATCACAGAAGTTAAATTCAGGCTGTTACAAAAAGGTAAAGGTAAAAGTATCCGTTGTGCTTAACACCATGAAGACCTATGAGGCGTGGATGTATTCATCCACGTATTCTTGACCTCGCCACTAGTTTGAGGTGAGTGGTCAGAATGACGGCCCGGCCGCCTTACCCTTGGAGAAAGAAGTCCCGGTATCCATTCGATATGAGACTGGATGGGCCCTAGAACCGGCCTGAACAACGTGGAAACGAAAAAGAATCTTGGAACCCTCGGCCATCCAGCCGGTAGCCAGTCACTATACAGACCGGGTTATCCCTACCCCGCCTTCTCACAAGGAAGAAGGGTGGGGGGGGGAGCATTTTGGCTTTGAGACAGTGATACTTGACAGCCGTTAAAGTAACCAGTATCACACAAATAAGAGAACACAGAGAAGCCGTCAATGGCCGAAATGGGAAGAGACTAAGCACAAACGGGAATTTTGCTCTTTTAGTCAATTACATTAAAATAATTCTAATTCCTAAAAAAGAATGTGCTTAGGCAGTAGAGTGTGGCACTTTGTTCGTTTCAACAGAACTGCGCACTGAAGCACTGAACGTTGCGGTCGAGTGGTCAGCACTCCCGCTTCGTGTTCGGGACGTTTCGGGTGTAATTCTCGACACAGAAGCCTGCTATACTGACTCAAGTTCTTCTGTTTCTCCGGCGTGAATCCTTCGTGTGATTATACCTCCCCGTTCCACGCCAGGCTTCTACAGAACTAACCTATATAGTTAGCAAAAGTCCAAAGCAAAAACAGCTTTAATTTATAAATGCGATGGAATGAGACTTCCATTTCTTCCCACTGAACGTCGCTACCGCTCTTGCTTAGTGTTCGGGAGGTCCCAAGTTCGAATTTATTCCGGACACCAGCTATCTACACTATTTTTTTTTCCTGAGTCCCACAAGATAAACCTTGGGGTAAAAGGTAAAGGATAGAGTTATCCTGTGCTTAATCACTTAAGGACAGCGCCATGAAGACGCATGGGGCAGTGGACGTACAGCTCCAGTATTCTTGGCCTAGGCTCTAGATGAAAGTGAGTGGTGAGCTTCACGTCCTAGCAGCTTTACCCTTGGAGAAACACCCTCTGGTACCGATTTCATAGCAGGGTGGTTGTGCCCCAGAACCGGTCTGGACGATGTGAAGCAGAGAAAAACTTCTTGCCCCTGCCAAAATCGAACCCCGGCCGTGCAGCCTCTGGCTATACCTAGTACCTTAAATAGGCCACGACCGCTTCATTCCAGATTCTTTCGAATTCGTTATTCTCATGTACATCCTATCCTTCGAAACTGCATAATCTGAGCAACTGACAAGCGTCTCTCCACAAGATACAATTACGTATCAATCAATGGGTGTGCTGGCAATGGGCTGTGGCGTGGGTTCCTGAAGAGGATCAACACGAACTACGCAGGAGGAATCGTGCAACTTGTAAATCACTGCACAACGTTCAAGGTTAGTCTGGGAACAGGTACGTAGGTGTTTCAGCGTATGCTTGTCAATTGTACGCGACGTGCTTAAGTGTTTCGTCAACCTCACAATGCATACTGTGCACGCGCAATTGGGAGACTTAACTACTTGCTGAATTTCGATTGAGGGTACGCCATTAAACGTTTAGAGTAGTCAATTACAATTATTATTGGCGAAATATAACCTCTAGTTCACACAACATTCAAACTCAACTTGTACTCTATCAGATTACTCAAAACTGCCACCTGTCCTACGGTCGATGATCAGCAGCTAACTTCAAGAGAGGCTCCGGGAACCTCCGCAGTTCTACTCAAAACAACATTACAGTGAATTATCAAGTATAAGGAGAAAATAATTCATGACCCTACAAACGGCAGCGGAATTTTTGCAGGTATCGGTCCTAATATTGTAAAAAGCAAAGAAACGGTAGAGTAGTTGGTTGAGGCACTATGCTACAAAAGGGAAGGTCGCGGGATCGAATCCCGATGAGGTGGATTTTTTCAATTGACCTAATCCTTCCAACCGCACTATGGCTGAGGTCGACTCAGCCTCATAACAGAAATG